AGAGAGAGAGAGAGAGAGAGAGAGAGAGAGAGAGAGAGATGAGCGATCCAAGATTGGTTGTCACTTACCTGTAAGGCGCGACTGCGGAGTCAGGTGGAGGAGGAAGACGGCGGCCATAGCCGCGGAGCATTGACACAGAGTACCGGAGGAGAGAGAAAGGGGAGGACAGAGAAGGAGGGACTGAGGAGAGAGAAGAAGAAGTGTGGAAGGAGGAGAGTGAAGAAGAAGACAGACATAGCCGGGGGTGAACACACACAAAAAAAAAATACAGCGAAAGTGAAGAGAAAGAAAGTGAAGGACGGGGAAGTAGACGGCGAGGGTGACGAAGGTGAAGGTGCCGGCAGCCATAGCCGAGGTGAAGGGTTGACCAGGGCGTTGACCAGAGGGTTGACCAAAGGGTTGACCAAGGGTTGACCAAGGGTTGACCAAGGGTTGACGAGAGGGTTGACCAGGGTGATTGACCAAGCGTTGACCAAGGCGTTGACCGGAGCTGCCGACCAAGATTTTGACCAAGCTTGAGTTGGTGACATCTCGTTGACCCCCCAGCCTATCCCCTTACCCTGTGGATGTGCACACCCCTACGGTACTTGCTGAGTTGAGTCTGTCTGTCTTCCTTTCTGCATTGAGTCTCTTCTGTCCTAGGTGTTAGGACTCTGTGGATGAAGGATAGGGCCTTGCTGCCAAACCTGCACGGGCTTAGAAGGACCAAAGCTCTACGCTGGCACTTGGGGACCTGGGCATGAGCGGCGAGCGCTTGTTAAACAACTCATCTAGCCCAATGACCGGTACTGTTTGGCAGGTCTACTGAGTTCAGTGTAGAGGGTCTGAACTCCGAGCTGTAGGCTGAAACGAAGATCGTCTTCAAGTGTTGAGGCCTGGTTGAGCCACTCCCCTACCGGACCTACTACAGCTGATGATCTGTGTCTAACGACTCAACTGTCCCGAGGGATACGAACCCCTCCAAGGACCGGTACAGACCGGCGGGCTGCTCGGTGTGGCACAGTAGGCTGGAACGGCTGAGTTGTGGGCTGAAATCGCCAGGAAGAGTCAAGCTGATCATGTCGTCCTGTCTGCGCGTTAAAGAATTCTTGAGGAGTTACGGGGGATCTCCTTAAATGCCTCCTGATCAGTTGCTGGTTCTGTAGTGACAGCCTTAGAGTAGTTGAGTAGTGGTCTTTAGAAAGTCAGTCAGTAGGTCAGCGTCCGGGTAGGTCTAAGTGGTAACGAGTGGGACTCGTGTCGTGCACCTACCACCACGATGGACGACTATCCGATGTATGGGTTGCTGGTTGGGTTCTCTCTCTGGGGGACCCTCTGGCGCCTCCTCTTTCCCCTGGGGTTCTGGCACGCGATGACGTGTAGAGTAGATACCCGGGGTGGTACTTCCACCAAGCCATATTCAAAGGGAGAGGAGGAGAAGATGGCCGCCATTCTGCAGGAGAGGAAGGAGAAGAAGGAGTCCAAGAGGAAGGCCTTGAAGGAGGAGCAGGCGGCCAAATTGAAGAAGATAGAAGAAGAGATGGCCAAAGAGAAGGAGAGAATAAAGAAGGAAGAGGAGGCGAAGTTAAAAGAGGTGGACGAGGAAGAAGAGGAAGG